GTTCAGAATGTACACTAACTGGTGGACATGTCTGTTTTAGTTGTATATTCAGAATGTACACTAACTGGTGGACATGTATGTTTTAGTTGTATATTCAGAATGTGCACTAACTGGTGGACATTCCTGTTTTAGTTGTATATTGAGAATGTACACTAACTGGTGGACATGTCTGTTGTAGTTGTATGTTCAGAATGTACACTAACTGGTGGACATGCTTGTTTTAGTTGTATGTTCAGAATGTACACTAACTGGTGGACATGCCTGTTTTAGTTGTATGTTCAGAATGTACACTAACTGGTGGACATGACTGTTTTAGTTGTATGTTCAGAATGTACACTAACTGGTGGACATGCCTGTTTTAGTTGTATGTTCAGAATGTACACTAACTGGTGGACATGACTGTTTTAGTTGTATGTTCAGAATGTACACTAACTGGTGGACATGCCTGTTTTAGTTGTATGTTCAGAATGTACACTAACTGGTGGACATGTATATTTTAGTTATATGTTCAGAATGTACACTAACTGGTTGACATGCCTGTTTTAGTTGTATGTTCAGAATGTACACTAACTGGTGGACATGACTGTTTTAGTTGTATGTTCAGAATGTACACTAACTGGTGGACATGTATGTTTTAGTTGTATAGTCAGAATGTGCACTAACTGGTGGACATTCCTGTTTTAGTTGTATATTCAGAATGTACATTAACTGGTGAACATGTCTGTTTTAGTTGTATGTTCAGAATGTACACTAACTTGTGGACATGCTTGTTTTAGTTGTATGTTCAGAATGTACACTAACTGGTGGACATGCCTGTTTTAGTTGTATGTTCAGAATGTACACTAACTGGTGGACATGACTGTTTTAGTTGTATGTTCAGAATGTACAATAACTGGTGGACATGCCTGTTTTCGTTGTATATTCAGAATGTCCACTAACTGGTGGACATTCCTGTTTTAGTTGTATATTGAGAATGTACACTAACTGGTGGACATGTCTGTTTTAGTTGTATGTTCAGAATGTACACTAACTTGTGGACATGTCTGTTTTAGTTGTATATTCAGAATGTACACTAACTGGTGGACATGACTGTTTTAGTTGTATGTTCAGAATGTACACTAACTGGTGGACATGCCTGTTTTAGTTGTATGTTCAGAATGTACACTAACTGGTGGACATGACTGTTTTAGTTGTATGTTCAGAATGTACACTAACTGGTGGACATGCCTGTTTTAGTTGTATGTTCAGAATGTACACTAACTGGTTGACATGTATATTTTAGTTGTATGTTCAGAATGTACACTAACTGGTGGACATGTATGTTTTAGTTGTATGTTCAGAATGTACACTAACTGGTGGACATGTCTGTTGTAGTTGTATGTTCAGAATGTACACTACCTGGTTGACATGTATATTTTAGTTGTATGTTCAGAATGTACACTAACTGGTAGACATGTATGTTTTAGTTGTATGTTCAGAATGTACACTAACTGGTGGACATGCCTGTTTTAGTTGCATGTTCAGAATGTACACTACCTCGTCGACATGACTGTTTTAGTTGTATGTTCAGAATGTACACTAACTGGTGGACATATCTGTTTTAGTTGTATGTTCAGAATGTACACTAACTGGTGGACATGTCTGTTTTAGTTGTATGTTCAGAATGTACACTAACTGGTGGACATGTCTGTTTTAGTTGTATGTTCAGAATGTACACTAACTGGTGGATATGTCTGTTTTAGTTGTATGTTCAGAATGTACATTAACTGGTGAACATGTCTGTTTAGTTGTATATCCAGAATGTACACTAACTGGTGGACATGTCTGTTTTAGTTGTATGTTCAGAATGTACACTAACTGGTGGACATGTCTGTTTTAGTTAATATGTTATTACACTAACTGGTGGACATGTCTGTTTTAGTTGTATATTCAGAATGTACACTAACTGGTGGACATGCCTGTTTTAGTTGTATGTTCAGAATGTACACTAACTGGTGGACATGACTGTTTTAGTTGTATGTTCAGAATGTACACTAACTGGTGGACATGACTGTTTTAGTTGTATGTTCAGAATGTACACTAACTGTTGGACATGTCTGTTTTAGTTTTATATTCAGAATGTACACTAACTGGTGGACATGACTGTTTTAGTTGTATGTTCAGAATGTACATTAACTGGTGGACATGTCTGTTTTTGTTGTATGTTCAGAATGTACACTAACTGGTGGACATGTCTGTTTTAGTTGTATATTCAGAATGTGCACTAACTGGTGGACATGACTGTTTTAGTTGTATGTTCAGAATGTACACTAACTGGTGGACATGTATGTTTTAGTTGTATGTTCAGAATGTACACTAACTGGTGGACATGTCTGTTTTAGTTTTATTTTCAGAATGTACACTAACTGGTGGACATGTCTGTTTTAGTTGTATGTTCAGAATGTACACTAACTGGTGGACATGTCTGTTTTAGTTGTATGTTCAGAATGTACACTAACTGGTGGACATGTCTGTTTTAGTTGTATATTCAGAATGTACACTAACTGGTGGACATGCCTGTTTTAGTTGTATGTTCAGAATGTACACTACCTCGTTGACATGACTGTTTTAGTTGTATGTTCAGAATGTACCCTAACTGTTGGACATGTCTGTTTTAGTTGTATGTTCAGAATGTACACTAACTGGTGGACATGTCTGTTTTAGTTGTATGTTCAGAATGTACACTAACTGGTGGACATGACTGTTTTAGTTGTATGTTCAGAATGTACACTAACTGTTGGACATGTCTGTTTTAGTTGTATGTTCAGAATGTACACTAACTGGTGGACATGCCTGTTTTAGTTGTATGTTCAGAATGTACATTAACTGGTGGACATGTCTGTTTTAGATGTATGTTCAGAATGTACACTAACTGGTGGACATGTCTGTTTTAGTTGTATATTCAGAATGTACACTAACTGGTGGACATGACTGTTTTAGTTGTATGTTCAGAATGTACACTAACTGGTGGACATGCCTGTTTTAGTTGTATGTTCAGAATGTACACTAACTGGTGGACATGTCTGTTTTAGTTGTATGTTCAGAATGTACACTAACTGGTGGACATGCGTGTTTTAGTTGTATGTTCAGAATGTACACTACCTCGTCGACATGACTGTTTTAGTTGTATGTTCAGAATGTACACTAACTGGTGGACATGTCTGTTTTAGTTGTATGTTCAGAATGTACACTAACTGGTGGACATGTCTGTTTTAGTTGTATGTTCAGAATGTACACTAACTGGTGGACATGTCTGTTTTAGTTGTATGTTCAGAATGTACACTAACTGTTGGACATGTCTGTTTTAGTTGTATGTTCAGAATGTACACTAACTGGTGGACATGACTGTTTTAGTTGTATGTTCAGAATGTACATTAACTGGTGGACATGTCTGTTTTAGTTGTATGTTCAGAATGTACACTAACTGGTGGACATGTCTGTTTTAGTTGTATGTTCAGAATGTACACTAACTGGTGGACATGTCTGTTTTAGTTGTATGTTCAGAATGTACACTAACTGGTGGACATGTCTGTTTTAGTTGTATGTTCAGAATGTACACTAACTGGTGGACATGTCTGTTTTAGTTGTATGTTCAGAATGTACACTAACTGGTGGACATGACTGTTTTAGTTGTATGTTCAGAATGTACACTAACTGGTGGACATGTCTGTTTTAGTTGTATGTTCAGAATGTACACTAACTGGTGGACATGTCTGTTTTAGTTGTATGTTCAGAATGTACACTAACTGGTGGACATGTCTGTTTTAGTTGTATGTTCAGAATGTACACTAACTGGTGGACATGTCTGTTTTAGTTGTATGTTCAGAATGTACACTAACTGGTGGACATGTCTGTTTTAGTTGTATGTTCAGAATGTACACTAACTGGTGGACATGTATGTTTTAGTTGTATGTTCAGAATGTACATTAACTGGTGGACATGTCTGTTTTAGTTGTATGTTCAGAATGTACACTAACTGGTAGACATGTCTGTTTTGGTTGTATATTCAGAATGTACACTAACTGGTGGACATGACTGTTTTAGTTGTATGTTCAGAATATACACTAACTGGTTGACATGGCTGTTTTAGTTGTATGTTCAGAATGTACACTAACTGGTGGACATGTCTGTTTTAGTTGTATGTTCAGAATGTACACTAACTGGTGGACATGTCTGTTTTAGTTGTATGTTCAGAATGTACACTAACTGGTGGACATGTCTGTTTTAGTTGTATGTTCAGAATGTACACTAACTGGTGGACATGTCTGTTTTAGTTGTATGTTCAGAATGTACACTAACTGGTGGATATGTCTGTTTTAGTTGTATGTTCAGAATGTACATTAACTGGTGAACATGTCTGTTTAGTTGTATATCCAGAATGTACACTAACTGGTGGACATGTCTGTTTTAGTTGTATGTTCAGAATGTACACTAACTGGTGGACATGTCTGTTTTAGTTGTATGTTCAGAATGTACACTAACTGGTGGACATGTCTGTTTTAGTTGTATATTCAGAATGTACACTAACTGGTGGAAATGCCTGTTTTAGTTGTAGGTTCAGAATGCACACTAACTGGTGGACATGACTGTTTTAGTTGTATGTTCAGAATGTACACTAACTGGTGGACATGTCTGTTTTATTTGTATGTTCAGACTGCACACTAACTGGTGGACTTGCCTGTTTTAGTTGTATGTTGAGAATGTACACTAACTGGTGGACATGCCTGTTTTAGTTTTATGTTCAGAATGTACACTACCTCGTGGACATGCCTGTTTTAGTTGTATGTTCAGAATGTACACTAACTTGTGGACATGTCTGTTTTAGTTGTATATCCAGAATGTACACTAACTGGTGGACATGCCTGTTTCAGTTGTATGTTCAGAATGCACACTAACTGGTGGACATGACTGTTTTAGTTATATGTTCAGAATGTGCACTAACTGGAGGACTTGTGTTTCAGTTGTGGTATGCACATCGACCGTTAGACGATGATCATATGCGGAATCGAGCGTACTCACAGTCAGACGTGCAGGACAGCATTGCCCCGGAGACCATGAAGCTCAACGTGGGCATATCCTCCAACGGAGACGTTGATGTAGGGGAGATAAGTCTTGCTGAGATGGACCCAGAAGACATCCGGGTTGGTACTATGGATAAAAGACTAAATGGCGTACTGCGAGTAACATAACTATGTTTTAGATTAGTTCAAGTGAAAGTTTGGTCAGAATACAAATTATGTTTTCAAAATATTACTCAGGATTTTGTCAGATCTGAACACATACGTGATGCAAGATACTTGGTGCGGGACGATTTCTCAACATCCAGTGCTGGAAAATGTATAGGAACCAATCTTCACGGGCTAAAATAGCTTCTCAAGCAATCAGAATATCCAATAACATGGTAAAATAGCTATTGATAACCTGATAGCAGTGATTGCATTATATTGAATATGGCTTTCTATTTTTAGGCGGAACTCAAACGGTTATATACACAACTTCAAATATACAAAACTAAAGCCATGCGGAAGGACAACCCACACATTTCTAAGAGAAGAGGGGGAAGGAAACAGACGCATCGTCGTTTTTCTCTTCAAGCGTTTCATCACAAGCATCGCCATCATCACGATCATTCGGAGCACGAGCATGAGATGTCGAAAACTCCCGAAGAGTCTACGAACAGTGCCGAGGCTATGGCATTGACGATGGAGGAAAGAAGTCGCGGTGAAGACAGTCATGAAGGAAGATCGGGCCCTTCCGTATCTTTTAAACCTGGACATAAGTAAGCATGAATACTCGGATCTGTGCATCGGAACTTGCCGGAATACTCGGGAAATTTCGTCTTGCCGAATATTTCCTTGTTGGGAATGTTGACGTGATTTTAAAACTGCCAACAATCGGAAGAACACGGGAATTCCGTATCATATGAATTTCCCATTATTGAAGATTTCTGGAGATATGGGATTGGGTATTACATTACTTGTAATTCCACTGTTGTCATGTGGAATATATTTGTCGTTCTTTTTCGTTTAGATGATGATACTTAACTGTACTGTATACTTCTGGATGATGGCCTCGTGACGAGAGGGCAGTCTCGCAGACACATGGGCGTATGCCCCATAAGATTTTTAAAAATCAGGCCTCATCACGTAAATATTGTTGAGAAGACACGAGAGTGAAATTGCCCCAGGGTTTCATCTAAACCGAAATTTGTTGACTGAAAACGAAGCCTTCTCTTAACCATTCGCCATTTCATGCCATTTCAACTTTGTTGCATCAAAATGGCGATGTTTGCTGTTTGGAACTGTACTTGTTATTGTAATGTTTATACATAAAGAAGCATATTGGAGGTGTTCATTTACCTTGTTGTATTGTTAGATTGCTATGTTTCATATGTAGCGCAGTGAAATGTAAAACATGATTGTCACAATATGTTACGGTGTGTGGGTATTTTACTATATTCTGAAAATGACCATTATACTTCCTTCATTGCATATTTCATCCCAAATGACCTTGTCAGAAAATGAGGTCTAGTACCAAAACTTCATTACATCGCTTTGATAGTTTCATATACTCATGTATAATGATTTAATGCTATCCATATTACTGCTGGTCTTGGCCGAGCTGGTGGGTTATACCCACTCACGATAAGGGATGTGTTGTTTTGCTTACTAGCCCCAAACATGTACACGTAACTGGAATTGTCCGTCATGCCGTGTAAGTTCGTAGTGGTTCCTAAACGTGCTAAATGTGCCAAAATTTAGTTGGTCTAGTTTGTCCTCCAATGTGTTTGTTTATGTCCATACCATCAACGTTGAATTATGAAAAGAGGAACATTTTGTGCGGTAAATAAATATACCCTTTCTTATGGGAAAAGGGCGTATTTACTTACGTATCCATGATTGTTACGTAACCATTTCCATTCAAACTGATATATCTAGTATCGTTCTTCTTTTTATATTTCGTTTCTCATATTTTCTTGTCCAACAGTCGTATGATGACAAACTTGGATCGTGAATCACCCATGACAAGTTGTTATATATAGACATATGTGTGCTTTTGTGCTCAATCGACAGGTACGAATATGTCAGAGGCCGATGAACTGAAACATCTCCTTCAGGGTTATGCTGTCTCATCCTAAACCCTGAAGCATTTTGATGTTTTATAGGTTTTGATACGAGTAGGGGCTATAACAGATTTCAGGATACATGTTCTTGTTCTGGGCTTTGCTGTCTCACTTACATGCCCAGAGTGAGACCATGTATCAGGAACTTTTGTAAAGAAAGAATTTGCGAAAAAAATTCTCTTTCAGGGCTATGCTGTCTCGTTTACTAGCCCTGGATGGGCATTATGTATCGTGAACTTCGTACATGATTGACAAGCATTTTGGTGACAGGTTCTTTCGTATGGGGCCATGCTGTCTCACTTACCAGCCCTGAACGAAATTACGTGTCATTAATATATGCCAGAAATTGTAATTTGTAGACACATCATTACCTTCAGGGCCATGCTGTCTCACTTACCAGCCCTGGAGGTGTATTTTGTATCTTCATTTACCATTTCTGTTGTTTTTAGAATGAGCTATGGTCCCTACTCCTAAGCAAATCGAAACGTGTTTTGACTTGACGACATGTAGTGTCTGAGGTATTGAATATGATAACACGACTCTTTGGTGACGGGAAACTGTTCCGTTGTCCCGATCGTGTTGAGATGTTGGTATCCATGGTAGGGGCCACGCTGTATCCCAAATAAGCCCCATCTCATGACAAGCTGGAAACTTTGTCACATTTTAGTTCTATTTCTGTGACTGGAAATACATATGTGGTTAACACAGGAGATGATACTTTGGGTAGCCTACATTCCATTAAAGACAATGGAATTCGGATGAAAATGACAATCCTTGTGCGATCCTTAATGCTTTCAACATGTTAATTATCAAAGGGAACAACCTCGGATACACGTTGGACCCGAGAGGGAACGACAACCTCCATGTGGGTGAGGTTGTCATGTCACGTTACTGGTGGACCCATGTTCAGGGCAAAGTCGCCTTTATAATCAGCCCAGATCGTGCACCTTTAGCATGGTCAAATTCTGCTCATGAGCAAGAAAACGATCTTGGTTTGATTCTTCTGACTTGGAACATGGCTGTGGTGTGATACTATAGATTTATAGTGTTAGACATGGTTGGGGCAGTGCTGTCGCGCTAGTCAGCGCAGATCGAAACAGAGCGTACGCATGCATCTGGTGCAGGTACGTCTACAGACTCCAAATAACACGAATATACACTAAAATGTGACCCAGTTACAAATTGTCATTAGCCCCAAACAGGTATATTAATTGTGACCCACGCGTGGAATTTTGGGGAAGGATAACATTGTTTAGTCTGGTCATGGGTAATAATTTTGGTTACGCGACACTGTCGACTGGTAACTCCTGTTTCTACCCGCAGCGAGCCTTGTGCTAAACCTTTGTAGACAGGAGACCAGTTTGAACCTTATGTCAAGAGAGTCATTCTGCCGTCGAGGAAGGTTAAGCCTGAATTCAACATAGTATATCCAGGTTCCGGGCTGAGCTGTCTCGAATACCAGCCGCGAAATGTGTATATATTGTCTTGACTTCTGATAATGTATTGACATCTGTTGACTCCTGTTTGTTTATGGTCTCGGTGTTGTTTTTATCCTCATCTTGTTGTCATGGTGATTTTATAAAGTTCCCATCATACGAAAGTACTCCTCGGACATCCTTTTAATGACCATGTAAATTCTAAGAGAAATATTATTACCTATGTACATACTACTGAAACCATAATTTGAAACTGAATTATCTAGCCTTTCTAGCTAACGTATCTAGTGAGTGTATATCAATGCCTTTATTTTCCTGTAAATAGCTGTAGTTTTCGCAGGGTCCAAAAAGAAAGGTTTAATGCAATTCTTATCGTACGTGTGATTTTAACAACGGACCCTACTGACTGTCGTTTTCATTTCATAGAAAACCATAAACAAGTCTATTATATTGAGATTGTGTATACCATGTTCATCTGTGTTAACGTTGCAAGCAAGGATAACATTTCACTGCATAGAATACAAGCATTATTACTGTGGTGAGTACATCATTGAATGTCGCGCTTTTGTGGTGTTTATTTCGAGTTCCATAGGTTCTGCGATAAGTTTTCAAAAAGGAAATAATGCATTTACATCGCGTCGCCAATCATTCTAAACTCCAGCTCTATAATCAGTGTATCTGGAAAAATGAAAAGATACATATTTCATATTCAACTATCTCTAGTATATGCGTTGATCTTCAGACATAAGTATTCGCTGGTTCAGCGTTGAATGATGATTTAATTCCACATCTCCTTCACTGGTTTACGTCTTGCCAGAGATGGAGCCGCGCTGGTGTCCCGTTTACAAAATGACAGACCCATACGACGTTTTAAATAGCTGTTGTTTGCGAAATAAAATTTGGATCCCGAAATCTCTGAGGGTTTACATACGGCAGATGTTGTACATAATCATTTCTAAGGTCTTTCACAGTTATTCTAGACTATTTGTCCAAAGCTGATCTATATGCTCAGCCACGTGAATATGATTTTATTTTATTTATATTCGTATGTATTTAGTTGAATTTGAAATAGTTTATTGAACTTATTCATGAATCTATTTATTGGATAATGTTATCTGTTTTGTTTTTCTTTTAAGACTTTACTATGGTTCCTAATTCCTAGGAAGATATTGATGTAATACAAGTCCAAGGAGGGCTCCAGTTGGTGGACAATTAGGACGGGACGACACGGGCGATAACTCCGAAAGTTTACTTTTGAAACTATAACATACGGCGTATATATTCTGAATGATATGGCACAAAATTAGAAATATTTCATACCAGCACACTCATAACATCGTGATATATTCATATTTTCGTCTTATTTTAGATAAATAATGCCAAAATATAAAAAAGATGAGCAAAAATATTTTTGAAAACAGAAAACTCATCGTCAGATGCCAAAAGTTGTCAATTTCATACAGATAACCTAGTTTCAGTGTAAACGCCACACATGGTATTGCAATCAATCAAATTAGATACGCGGGTAATAACCGGACTTTGATGATTTTTCTGATGGGGGCTGTGCTGTCTCGCTTACCTGCCCTTATCCAGTATATCTCATGAAGTTCTGGTCGTGCTTATCACGTGATTTATCATCGAGAGGTTGTATGCTTCTTCAATCTGTGTAAATAACATGTTCCTTTCTTGAGTGTCATTAGATTTCATTCTTTCAAGGTGTCAGCGACATGGCATAGCTTGTGCATTTTCAGCCATAAATTATTTTGTCCAGGACATTTTGTCAGCCGGGGTTGAAATTTCCTACACACCGGTACATTACAACGATGACGAATCACGTGACCTGCCAAAATGGTCACGAGCCAATTAGAATCGCCAGCTAGATCTGTTAACGTTTCATTTTCATGCCATTGCAAAACTGTTCTAACTATTGCACAGTATGTAGCCATGCAAGGAGAATATGTAACGATTTGTAATAAAATTGTAAATTGTCACCCTTGTTCAGTATTTAGTCACGATCACGTTTTCATGATCCACTGACTCGAGATGTTGGCTTACCTTTCTGTGATCATACATTTCACATAAAGAGTGACAGCTGTATAAATGAGTAAGTGAAGTGAGTGAGTTAGTGTGGTTTTACACCGCAACATTCCAGCAATATCGATCATGGCGCCGGACATCAGAAATGGGCTTCACACATTGTACCCATGTGGTGAATCGAACACGGATCTTCGGCGTGACGAGCAAACGCTGTAACCACTAGACTACCCACAGCTCCCGGTAGCTGTATAATAAGTTGGTGCACCTCGGAGAGCCGGTAGATCGACATCGTGCTGCAGACAGTGTGAGCTTAGTGCCAATACATTACCAGACAATACAACAATCGATCATAGACAGACTGACATGCCATTCCTATGTGTAGGGATGACATTACAAATCCACTATAACGCTTGGGTTTTACAAGTAGAATGGAACATGGCATTATTAGCGTTCAATAATGAGTCTCTCGTATGTCAGTACAGGACCGCGAACAGATGAACTTTTCTTTCTGCACCTGGCGTCGCTACCAGGCGTGAACTCACGAACAACACTTTAAGTTGGCTACTGTTGGTTAACATGACATTCAGTTGGCTTCTTTTGGTTAAGAAGACGTACTGACTGACTGAGTTTAGTTTTACGCCGCTTTTAGCAATATTCCAGCAATATCACGGCGGGGGACACCAGGAATGGGCTTCACACATTGTACCCATGTGGGGATTCGAACCCGGGTCTTCGGCGTGACTAGTCAACGCTTCAACCACTGGGCAACCCCACCGCCCTAACAAGACGTACAGTTGGCTACTTTAGGTTAACAACCCTTTCATTGGGTTACTTAGGTTAACATCCCTTTTTAGTGGGTTACTTCGGTTAACAGCCCTTTCAGTGACCTTCAGAAAATATTTTAACATTTTTGTCTAAACATTTTCAGCAGTTTCACAGTATTTGTTCGCCAAATCCTGACCCATAGAGGGGCTGTAGGGTAGCCCCGTATTTAAGGAGTTTGCACATCACGCTGAAGACCCGGGTTCGATTCTCCACATGGGTACAATGTGTGAAGCCCATTTCTGGTGTGCCCCGCCATGTTAGTGCTGGAATATTGTTAAAAGTGGCGTAAAACCATACTCACTCACTCTGACCCATAGCACAGCAAATGTGTAACTCTTCAATAAAATAATCCCGAGATCAGCGCCGTTAATATTAACTACTCTCTTTTGATATCTGTATATTACCACCAGGTCTATATGTGCTGTTAATGCAAGGCAGGCTTGTGCTTTAGTCCTTTCTGAGTGTAAATACTAAACATATCTACATAGTGACACAACCTCAAGCTTCTGGTCCTAGAAATACCACTTACCGCAGTGTCGCGGTGTAACGGAACAACATAACCTTCGTCTTCTCCACATTTACTTTCATACCAGCTGATTTATAGAAACATTCCAACAGAATGCAACTGTACTCTAGTATCAGCAACTGCTGAAACATCAGCAAACATGATAGCAAATATATTATTTACACCAGGAGATGCATATATATCTTGTCTACCACAGTCTTCCATCATGTTAAGTTGATTGATAAAGACAATAAACAGATAAAGGTAATAAACAGACTCAACATGCAGCCTTGACGAGTAATTAGACAATCCATTTCTTACACATCACACAGCCTCCTTTCTCTTAACAAGTTAACAAGCGTATTTCTGTATCATTGCATGGAGCGACCAGCGGTGGAATAATTGGATCTACTTCCTGCTTGTGTCTCATGAATAATGGCGTAACCGGAAGAGTACAACTTTCAACAACATGCCATTGTAAGTTTGGCCCCACTTCGGGGTTAAGTTTTAAAATCAGACTTGAAGGTGTTACATATAATACTTAGGCAACATTATCACCTAATTGTAGCTAGTATATACTGCTGGGTGTCACGCCTATTATTTCAGCCATAGGAAACTGACGATACATACCAAGAATGTGCCGCTGCCTGTCCTAACCCTGAGAAACGGTAGCACACTGGCTAGTTTCAAAACGACCGTCGATGAAAGGGCGACAACTCCATCTAACACACCTGGGATTTTATTTGTGCGGTTTGTTTTATGTGTACTGTCAATTATAGGGAAGGGAGACAACTGGGGTTTAATAAAGTGTTGGAGATACCGATAGATGTGGCAAATGTTATTTAGTTACAGCATGAACAATATGCTAGATATGAAGTTGGTATATAAACCTTACGTGCAGTTAGTTCAACGGAAACATCGTGTATTGAAATATTCGTCATCTGTAAAAAACGTCTAACACGACGAGGAGCATTGTTCAATAGGTTTATTCAAGTTTCCAGGAGCTGTTTCAATATGGAATCACTTTGGTTTTACTATGACAAATATATGATTAACGACGTGGAGTAATGAAGGACTAACGTCAAAATTACTCCCATATGTTTTTTCTTTGAGCAATCTAACAAGCGTTTTTACATGTGAAAACATCTACAAATATATATAAATATTTCACGAAATGGACAATTTACCGTCAAACACTTTAGTGTCGAAGTTGAAAGGACCTACGAAGATACTTCGAGTTATCTAAGATGCGACACAAACAGAACACGTTTTTTTCTTTGAGCAATCTAACAAGCGTTTTTACATGTGAAAACATCTACAAATATATATAAATATTTCACGAAATGGACAATTTGAAAACATCTACGAAGATAAATAAGATATATAAATATTTCACGAAATGGACAATTTACCGTCAAACACTTTAGTGTCGAAGTTGAAAGGACCTACGAAGATACTTCGAGTTATCTAAGATGCGACACAAACAGAACACAAACTAACAAGAACATGTGAAAACATTTTTCTTTGAGCACAATCGTAACAAGCGACCTACGAAGATTTTACATGATGCGACACAAACAGAAAAGCATCTAACAAATGAAAACATATATAAATATTTCACGAAGTGGACAATTTACCGTCAAACACTTTAGTGTCGAAGTTGAAAGGACCTACGAAGATACTTCGAGTTATCTAAGATGCGACACAAACAGAAGATGATGACAAAATACAGAGTGAGTGAGTGAGTTTAGTTTTACGCAACACTCAGCAATATTCCAGCTGTATGGCGGACAAAATACCGACTATGCAGGGACCCAACATCGACACAACCGTAATTCGACACAGCGGGGTTTGACTGTATAACAGTTTGAATGTAATTGCCGCCCCCGTGCAGGTCCGGGTAATGATATAGGTCCCCAGCAGTCTGTCCTCGTCTTGAGTGTAGGCTAACTTGATGGCAGCCAGGGCTGCGGTTCACAAAGCAATCGTAGCGCTACGACTCCCGTAACCCCTATACTTTAACGTAGCGCTACGACTCTCGTGACCCCTATACTTTAACGTAGCGCTACGACTCTCGTAACCCCTATACTTTAACGTAGCGCTACGACTCTCGTGACCCCTATATTTTAACGTAGCGCTACGACTCTCGTAACCCCTATACTTTAACGTAGCGCTACGACTCTCGTGACCCCTATACTTTAACGTAGCGCTACGACTCTCGTAACCCCTATACTTTAACGTAGCGCTACGACTCTCGTGACCCTATACTTTAACGTAGCGCTACGACTCTCGTGACCCCTATACTTTAACGTAGCGCTACGACTCTCGTAACCCCTATACTTTAACGTAGCGCTACGACTCTCGTAACCCCTATACTTTAACGTAGCGCTACGACTCTCGTGACCCCTATACTTTAACGTAGCGCTACGACTCTCGTAACCCCTATACTTTAACGTAGCGCTACGACTCTCGTAACCCCTATACTTTAACGTAGCGCTACGACTCTTGTAACCCCTATACTTTAACGTAGCGCTACGACTCTCGTGACCCCTATACTTTAACGTACAGTGACGACCGTCATATCACTGAGATCGCTTTATGAAACGGGACCCAGGCTTGGTGACTGGTTTGATTGCATGTCATCGTATCCGAATCGGGTGGATATGTGCTCAAAGATGAACCACGGGATTGTCCAGATCTGATCCAGAATCAACTATTTACATACCGCTGGGATATACAACGGACAAAAGCAAGTTATATTCAGGTTAGTGTCGTTGGGATCGGAAAATTCGATACAACGCCAGTAGCACCAAGTGTGAAGACAAGTGCATGGCTCGTTATAATTTGAAGAAAAAACACACATGCATTGAGACCAAGGATGTTTATAAATCTGGTGTAACTTATGTAAGCAACTTACTGAAGGGCCTGGTTTTTCATCATGTAGATCAATGGCTTTGGGGTTATCTTGCAGTCAATGAAATGCTGTAGACAACAATTTTTTATCTCTGAATGACGTTTTAGACGTACAGTGGATGAACAGATGATGACCATGTACACGACGGCCTTGTGTGTGTCATGTACATCATGTCCTTGTGTCGATGTTTCTAAAATTTGCTTTTCGCTTCTTCATAGCCACCATTGATGAAGCCACCGCCCTTTTCGCCTGAACCCACACATGCATTCTCCAGTGTTGGTAGAGGCATTCCTAACTGGGAGGAATAGCGCCCATGTTTGTTTTCATCCCGCTTGGGGCCCCAATTCTCAAGTGGCCTATTGAGATTCCACCATACCTACAATAAATATTTAAAGTTATGCGGACCGTAGTGACAGTACGACAGATGCAGATTTCTGACAATCATTGGTTTAGGATAGGTATCAAATCGTCCAATACTATTCCTCGAAAGATTACCCTTCCATAGTACCATGACTTTTGTAAAATAACCTTTGTGACATTCTAGGGTGAAGATACAACGGGAATTATGTACCATAAATAGTCCTGCCTAATCAAAACACGTTCGCTGAAAATTATGATGATGTTCGTGCAAATACACACATTTTGCACGTTTATATATTGGTGAGTTTCAGCGCCATAGTTTGCCATGTCTATGGACAACTAGAACATATCACAATCAACAGAATTCACTTGATCGAACTTTGTTTTAGGATGGAGAGAGTCCCCAATGCTGCTATTATTTTCGCACGGGGAGATTGTTAAGACCGTTGAGCGTACGGATATTCTCCCATACATGAGTGAAATCAACTGAAAATATGTACATGTCTATTGAATGAGCATTCAATGACATACAAAAACACAACTAGAAGACGACCCCTAGTTTCCTTTACAGTTCTGAAAAGTAATGCATTTTGCGTCATAGTGATTCTGGACAAAAATGATGTATTCCCCTATCCACCTACAATGTGTCCTATGGTGGGAACCATGCTGACTGGAGAGTTTCAAAAATGCTTTCTCTTGAGGACTATCTCTATCCCAGGCCACATGTCACTGAGACAACAAGTTTTAGTGAGATTCGACCTCGCGAGCTATGAGATTGTTTATTCCTTTTTTACAGGTAGTTTTAGGATCTAGACGACGTCAACAACGACACGCTACCGTGACGTTACCCTTACCCATGATGTACAGAGCTATACAGAATTCTGTTCACCACACTGTTCTGTCAATGCTCATTCTGTATTTTTAATTATCGTGGTACGGCTGGCAGTAGTCTGTGCAGATATGTGTCCCTTAGGTGAAACCAAAACACAGATTCGCCCTACATCTGATGCTGTGTACGGTGACGTGGGTATCACCAAAAATTTGAAAACTTGTAAAACCAGACATGCCGTTATAAAACTGCCACAGTGTTCACAGCGGCCTTACATTAATCAAACTCTTAAATCTGACGTACCTCGAACCCTCCCTTGTAGCAGAAATAGCCACAGTACCACGCCGGTATGGAGATGAGGATAGCCGCCACTATCAGCCACCCCAGGGCTTCAGACCACTCGGGATACCCGGGGCCAGTAATGGGGGTGTACTGCATGCTCTTGAAGACTATGACAACCTGAAAATATGCATACATATACTGTGAAAATATACAGCCAGTGAATCTGGTTTGTGGCGCAGCTGTTGTATTGGTTACTTTCACACTGTGGATGTAGAGACAATCAAACTATGTGTACACTATTATGAACTACAAAACAGACGGTTTGGGGTTGTATTCTACGGATCAGTTTGGCATGACTTGTCCGTGCTTGTGAAAGTGTCCCCTTTGTTTCTAAGGACCACAGGTCGTGGATCTAATTCTCTAGACCTGTACGTTAAGTTAGCATTATACGGTGTCTAACACCTCCGTCTGACTGGTCTCTGATCTAATATTTATCTGTCCGGATAAAACAAACATTTTCACTGATGCATACTGTTCATCGGTCAGTCTCTCAGTGTCCTTTGCTTCCATTACATGATATTATCATATACAATTGTAATATTTTAACAAATACTAGTACTATGATGACTGAGAATTAATCGACAAAAATGTTTCTTCTGAATAACAGATGCTTTTGATCATCATTATCCGATCGAACAGGTTCACGTCACTGAAGAAGTGACTAACTTGGATCGGGCAGTCATGCTCTATGACGGCGTGCCATTGTGTCACACGTTTGTAGATTTCCCCGAGATTACAGTCACTGGTTTTCCAGTTTACAGGCTACCGTGATGTAGTTTGATTATTGCTGACGCAGCGATACCCAAACGCATCCCGTCACATGCCCGCTCACCACCAGCAGCACAGGGGAGATAATTCCCCAGCACAACAGGAAGTAGTAGTACACGATGGTTCCCACAATGTTCATACGGGACCCAGTCATCATCCGAACATCGTCTTTGAATCGGCGAATACCTGAATAGATTCAGAAGAAAATGAGATGAAGTCTTACCCTAAAACAACTACAGGAAGTTATTTATATACATGTACTTAAAATGTTTTCAAGCCTACCCTTTAACCAGTTTATGCCTCATTGTCAGGTAAAGACATATAGACAATGATTATTGGACCACACTATACAGTGGGATTAGCATATTAGAGGCCGTCCAATGCTATTTGTTTGTTCCCTGAGACCGAAAGCAAACATAACTAACATAAAGGATATATCTAGCCATGTCAGTCAAAGGAGCGGTTAATAATGAAATTATCTTACAGTTCGGCACCCAGATAGCAGACGTCAGAAATCAAACATAGAGCTAGCCCCTTTAAATATATTTCGTTCGGTAAGTATCAAACAACATCAAGAAAATGATGTCTTGCATCATCAATTTCGAGACACAAATGTAATGTAACAGCTCGGCAATTCGTGCGGGGAACAGAAGAAAAATGCATTTCGTGTTAGCAGAGTATGTTGAAAATAATTGGATGTCAGCAAGTCTTAATTTGACTCTCATGTGTAACATAAGATTCATTTTGAGTACGTCTGTATATCTCATATAAGCATATACTGCACATATTGTTCATTGTAAGATGACTTTAAGCTGAGAGTTTGAGTTTAATGTTCCGACTGACGTAAGTCGATTACCGTTACTTGAAAACATTAGTTAATTTGACACTCGAAGAAAGCGCCAACGTTTTAGACAGTAACAATAAACACAGGGTCTCGTGAAGTTAACATTTATCGGTAACACTCATTCCAGCTGACTATGTCCCAGGTTTGCCCTAAAAAACCCGTTGAAACTGAAATAGTAGGTTTCATTGAAATGACAAACGACTTCGCCTGCAGCGTGGTTCGTCGTGACCGAAACACTGTTCACATGAGCGTTAATCCAAACTCATATTTATATCACAAAACTGTTTAGATTACATTCATTGTGTAGAAGACCCGTTATCTACAACCTACCATATACAAAAATGACGGCCACAATTTCTGTGAGACCAATGATGAGGAGTGGAAATCCGCCTACAAACGTATCCATCAGGTTCAGGATATAGCTCCCCCCCTGTCAGACAAGAAAAGTGGGTGGGTTCACTAGCATATGGACGAGCACTGTCCAGCAACAATATGCAGCTGAAATTGACACTGGTACCTTCGTTCTACATACATGTATGATGTAAATCAGATCTATATAAGGACATACGGATACTCCGAAGCCAGATAAAGTGCAAAATGTGTAAATGTGTGTGAGTCTTGGTTGGTATTCCATTATCATTTTCTTTATTCAAATAAAACAATCATAAACAGTTACAAACATAAACCATAGTATCGGATTACATTAAGAACATAACAGTGTCGTCAGATGCACGTCCATGGACGCTTGTCTGTGTTAACATTATGACAATATCTTTCAGCTGATTGGTAAGCATCACATTTGACATTAGATAATTGTTGCTATTGACCATGGTCATACCTGTGTTAGGTATATAGACATACCTGTGTTAGGTATATAGACATACCTGTGTTAGGTATATAGACATACCTGTGTTAGGTATATAGACATACCTGTGTGACTTGAGGAAGACCGAGAAGGAAGCCTAGCAAACACGCACCTATTCGCAACAGATAGTTATTTCTGCCCTTCGCCAGTTGAGGGAATACATCAATGATGGATGTAAGGACGGACTCTACTCCAGATATCTGTCAAGGAGAACACACGTGGTTGCCTTCCTTGAAGGATGTTGGTAAATACACAAATTGACACATCTGCATCACGTCAATAAGTACCGATGTTATTGCAGTTGTTTTGCTTACAAGTAGCAATACGCTTGAATTTTCAGTACTCAGTCCAATTCTTTCACAGAAACGCTAACTGCTGTTCCTGTTGTGTTCTATCACAACGGAAGTAGCATTTTATTAATACGTGTACAGAAACTTGGTTAAAATTCACATGCTTGGATTTATTCATGAGCAACCAGATGTTGACCAATTTAGCAGTTAAAAGAGAAAAGCTGTCGTTCATTTACATTTAAATACGGACTGAATGTGGAAATACGATACAGCATTTACTCGTTTTCGAAGCCTGGTCAGACATTGAAAACCCCCACGTTTGCTAGAAATGCTACCCGAAGAGAACCAGTGTACCAGCCCGAGTATTCGCTATCTATACTACCCATCAAAAGTTTAGACTCACTTAAAGCACTCACTATATGTTATGTATATGTATGTGGTTACATCGAAGATGAATTTCTCCACCAACTTGGGGGAACCAACTGAAAACCTTATGCAGATGAATTGCACAAGGATGATGCTTCAAATTGCGAAAGGCATGAGCAAATGTCGTGCATGTGAACAGATGCGTTTTGGTGTAAAGTTTTGTTAAGAATTCGCCAATTTTCACAGATTTTAATCATTTACTGAACTCATGACAATAATCTTTTCAATGTTACGAATATGTTTTACAATACACCAGTTCATAACTAAGCAGTACCTTTAAACAGTATGGAATATTTTGCAAAAAGCTAGTTTAGAACAGTGGACAAGTAAGTGGCTACATTTACACTAGTGAGTCTAAACTTTTGATGGGTAGTATATATACCATAGAGCTCCATCCGAGTGTGATCAACATGATGAAGAAGAGGATGGACCACAGAGGTGGAATCGGCATCCTGGACAGAGCTTCGGGATACACAATGAACACCAGGCCGGGTCCTGAAACACGTCATTCTGTCAATGTCTTCTCCAAGGATGGTTATCTTCATATCCCAGGGATAGAACTATGATCATTAACGTAAGACGTTGATTAGCGATTTTCGCTCAGCATATGTGAAACAATATTTCCCTAGCTCTTTGTAGCTGTAAAAGTTTCTGTTTTAGTTATATGACGTCATGTCTAATATCGCAAACCTTGTAGCTGTAATAGTTTCTGTTTTAGTTATATGACGTCATGTCTAATATCGCAAACCTTGTAGCTGTAATAGTTTCTGTTTTAGTTATATGACGTCACGAGTAATATCGCAAACCTTGTAGCTGTAATAGTTTCTGTTTTAGTTATATGACGTCACGAATAATATCGCAAACCTTGTAGCTGTAATAGTATCTGTTTTAGTTATATGACGTCACGAGTAGTATCGCAAACCTTGTAGCTGTAATAGTTTCTGCTTTAGTTATATGACGTCAGGAATAATATCGCAAACCTTGTAGCTATAATAGTTTCTGTTTTAGTTATATGACGTCATGTCTAATATCGCAAACCTTGTAGCTGTAATAGTATCTGTTTTAGTTATATGACGTCATGTCTAATATCGCAAACCTTGTAGCTGTAATAGTTTCTGTTTTAGTTATATGACGTCATGTCTAATATCGCAAACCTTGTAGCTGTAATAGTTTCTGTTTTAGTTATATGACGTCATGTCTAATATCGCAAACCTTGTAGCTGTAATAGTTTCTGTTTTAGTTATATGACGTCACGAGTAATAGTTTCTGTTTTAGTTATATGACGTCACGAGTAATATCGCAAACCTTGTGCTGTCACGTCCGCAACGTCCACGTTTTTTGTGTACGCCATGAAACCGAGCACAGAGAATATTGCGAATCCAGCAAAGAAACTTGTAAGGCAGTTAATTAGGGGTATCAACATCGCATCCCTGAAACATCAAACATTTATGAAAATATTCCAAGTGATGGATAAACAATGAGAATCTGATTCGGAAGTAGAATCATTTTGAACCTTTATAGCACAGGCCGTCATGTCTTTGCGAGGATTAAAGATTTAAAAAATATTTTTCAGATGACCCCCGTCTCGAAATGCTTCACAGTACATTTCAGTCTAAGTAAACTTCGGCTCAGTGTTATTCGTTTCACTGCCATATCGATTCTAACAAACCCTAGTAGCGTCAGCTAACCTTTTGATTTGACCAATCAGAACACAGCTTACGAAATCGCGAAGCATTCGCACATACCGTTTGAACTTTTACCTCGAAAACGTTTGTTCTCGAACGATATCGATTGCTATTTTCCGCACGAGTGATAGACATAGGGAAAAAAGTTGCTGACAATAGCGTTTTTGCCAACATTCCAGAATGTCATATTGCGGAAATATGAACTGATAGTAACCGTGTCATCAGAAACCCCTAAGCGTATATACTGCAGGTCAAATATCTGTGTTTTGTGCGGATTTTCGTTTGTTGAGAGATCAGTGTCAGCGGAGAAGAGAAAATCCATTTTGTAAGTCCCGCCGCACCCTAAATAGTAGCTGTTGTCTGATTGGTTAAATCCTTTCGGCCGTCTCGCGTTTGATTGGACGGTCATAGGTCGCTCAAAGGTTAGCTGACGCGACCTTCTACTAGGGTTTGTTAGACCAGGGAGAATAGAAGACTGCTGCAGATTATCCTTGTTTAGGCTCGGTATAGCAGTATAACGAATAATACAGAGCTTAAGTTTACTTAGACTGCAGTACATTTTTTTAAAATCTATAATCCTCGCAAAGACACGAGGGTCTGTGCTTCAGAGTTCGTTGAATGATGTAAACTATTTTCTGGTTGATAATATTGTTATTACATATTTTCTGTATAATTTTGCATAATGATCTATTAAGCTGTTTTACCTTTTTAAGAATGCAAGTTCAGATAGTGTATTTACTGAAATGCACTTGCCTGAGGGTGTTGTTATTGAACTTGTTGTAACTAGCCATCGCTATGAGGGATCCGGAGCAGGTACTCGTCGAGAAGAAGATCTGTACTGCTGCATCTCCCCACACCTTCAGTAGAGGATGGAGAGAGATGATAGGACGCAATGACGGTATAGTGAGCGGACAGCATGACTGTCAGTACCTACAGACAGCACCAGTTGTCCTGGACGCTTTTGTTACAAGAGTGACTCGTGCTACAGGTCTGTGCTATAACGGTTTTGTACAAGGCTTTATCTTACCTTAGATATTTGATTGGCATTTTAGAAGATGCAATCAGACAACAGAACAAAGAGACTTTTTCTGGGTTTCATCTTCTTTTTATTGTTTGGTACAACGTTACAGGGCTTGTTCTGGCCCCATCATCAGGTAGAACTAAAGAACAGTTCTACCGGATGATGGGGCCAGAACACTGCTCTTTAGTTCTACCTGATGATGGGGACAGAACAAGCCCTGAAACGTTGTACCAAACAATAAAAAGAAGATGAAACCCAGAAAAAATCTCTATGTTTATATTACCTTCATGTAAAATACTTTATTTCATTGGCCAATGACGCTTTAGCAAGTTTCCGTGTCACCCCTTGAAAAAACATTACCCGCTGCCAGGGTCACCGAAAAACTCTCCACCGAGAAGCTGAATCGCTAACAATCGTATGACGTCATAATATGACGCATGGAGTGCACGGAGTTCGAAAACCGTTCGATTAGCTGGTTTTTTTAGTTCACTTGTGTACACATTTATTTACCGACTTTCACTGTTTTATTTAAACTATTCTATACATTGCATCGTTTGCATCAACTTAAACATAATTAACCGTTTTTATAGCAGTTTTAAGCTTGTCAGAATATGTTTCACTGATATTAAAAATCGTGCCGAGAGGCAGACGCCATTTTGTTTACGTGTTATATAGTTGGTAACGAGCTTATCGATCCTCAAAATAAAATAAAAAGATCTTGTGTATATTTAACATGGCGGTAGGATAAATACGTTCTAAACTTCCCCCTCGGGTAATACTGTCTGATGTACGCCTCTTTGTAGCAGTATTACCCTCGAGAGAAGCATACAACTTATAATATTCAATTGATCTTTATACTTGATTGTTGTGCATGCCAAGTTGTGTATGAAACTCCAACAGCGTAAACAGGAATGGACATCCCAGGTTACAATAGGTCCCAGGTTTTTTTCTAAACAGGATAGTCAGGATGTGTTTCCCGCCGGCATCGGGCGTTTCTAACTTAGGCAGGGGCGGTGGGGTAGCCTAATGATTACAACATCCGCTCGTCACGCTGAAGACTAGTCTTCGATTCCCCACATGGATACAATCTATAAAGCCCATTTCTGGTGTCCCCCGCCGTGCTATTGCTGGAATATTGCTAAAAGCGGCGTAAAACCATACTCACTTACTCTAACAAAGGCCAGACCGCGATATAGCGGGGGCATTGCTGACTGCTGCATGAAACAACAGTGACTCAAATAAGTTAAACAAACATTAGAATGGTTTGATTGAGGGGACAAATAAGTTAAACAAACATTAGAATGGTTTGATTGAGGGGACAAATAAGTTAAACAAACATTAGAATGGTTTGATTGAGGGAAAGTTACGATGGGGAGGATGTGGTGGGTGGGGCTTTACCAGTAGGATATCTGTCAACAATCATTTACAGTTTATGTTTCAGTGCAAGATATGGTTGAGTCGGTATCGGAAGGACCTGCTGTAATTCAGATATTAAAGTCCCTTGACCACATCATACACTACAAAAAGCTAGGTCTGATCCCTCTATTTAGCACTGTGCCGCGGGTTTCATCAATGTGGCAAATGCCAGTAGCCATCGTTGTCTTCTCACCGAATATTACAATATAAATTTTCCACTGGTCACGAGGGGGACATGGGTTGATGTACCCTCCATGTTTGTTTATGTTCCCTGGGCCCGAAGCGGAAAGGGAACATAACCAAACATAGAGGGTACATCAACCCATGGGCCCCGAGGGACCAGTGAACAACGTATTTATCTTACTAACCTAACACCTCAATGTTAATTTTAAACTGTTTGAAGCACGGGTTTTGGATCATAATAAGGAGTACCGGAATTATAGTCCAACCACTACTAACAAGAAGTACCAAACGAATTGCACAGTTCGTCATTTCCAGCGGGTGACATAGAAAATGTTACTTGCTTGTAAGCGGGGTACATTGACTGGCTCATTTATGTGTCATATAAGATAACTATTTAAAATAGTATAACCCACTATGCATGTTAATTACTAACTTATTCCAAGTTCTTCAAGAAACTGTCATTGGCCTGCGTCATAATACTTACAGATGCAGATGACAGTTTTTCTGGTTGTGGGGTGATGTAGTACTTGACGCCCTCCAGGTACCCATCCAAAGTCAGGCCCCGAACAAGCATTACAGTCAGTAGAATGTAGGGCAGGACAGTGAAGACGTAGATGACCTGTAGTGAAACAATGTACATGTTGCATAGATTTTTATAGAACAGCGGGCCATCTTCATAATTCATACCCAGTAGTCACTTCCGTGGGAAATAGTCGAAGAACCTTTGTAGTGTTAATTAATATTTTAGAAATAAATCTATTATTCATGTTATATAATATACAATATATGAATGATGTTAATGTATAAATGTAATGGTAGAATATGATTATGAGTGGCTGTACGATTGATTGGGGTTGATACATTGTAAAATTATTGTCCCCCTGATCGTGTGGCGAAACATAGCATGGTCCTTAGTAGGGTGACATTACCAACGCTGCTGGCGATACCTAGCCTAATTTCTCGTATTACTACATAACTTGATCAAGTCACAGTATGGTTAAAATACTGACGGATTGACTTAATCAAACTCACTCACTGAACCAATGGTGTTTTGATTAATGTCGTGCATTCCTCTTAAGGCTTATGTCTGTGTGCGGAGCTCAAGTGATGTACTGACAAGAAAACTTTGTCAGTTCTTGTGACAATTATGTGACTGTCTTCTGAGTTTACCCTACACTGATGTTTAAACAACTTCAGTTTCCAGTGTAAAATATCACGAGGTATAAATTTTACTTTGACGTGATTTGTACCTCCTGTACTGACATTAATGTTGACGCTATGTTACCTTCCCCAGTGACTTGATTCCCTTGATGATGAGGATGATGATGATGATGATGATGATGATGATGAAGACGCAGCAGACAGCCAAGGACAAGGGGTTCCTCCTGTACAGACATTAATGTTGACGCTATGTTACCTTCCCCAGTGACTTGATTCCCTTGATGATGAGGATGCAGCAGACAGCCCAGGACAGGAGGTTACACAGAGTTAACTCCCACTTCATCTTTCCCACGGAGCCGATACCGTCCGACACCTCCAGAACATGGAAACTGCGAACATGGGTACAAGTGATGACGTTTGTATACATCATGCAGACACCCTGGGACTTGGGATAACGTTGCAGACTTCAGCAGAATTTCGGATTAAATATGGGTCTGAAGTAAATCTAAATCTAGCTGTTTTCTGGAATTAGTAGGCTTGGTCGAAGTATCCTTAATAAAAAGTAAGATTCGCTTTATATTTGCAGTATTAAGGACAACAAATCATGTAGGTGTTAGAACTTTGCTAGAAAACGTTTGATAGAAATGCCAAGGTTTTTAGCCATCACTCACTTGTAATACTCTTCACTGGGTGAACGAGTTGCATTTGGGAAAACAAAACCCTGATCACCTGAAGTATAAATACAGGCATTTCACAAACATGAAAGTATATTCTGATGGTGACAATACCCAATACGTCTACCTCCATTGGAGATGGGAAAGGGCACACTTAACCGTTTACTGGGTTAATGCTTTCGATACCCCTGCTTTTGAAAACGTTAACGTACTAGCAGTTGCCCTAATTGTCTAGTATCGGTTTCACTACATGCATACTCACTGCAGTTGATGTTGGTGTTGTTCAAGTACGACGTATCGTTGGCATCGATGCGACAGGAACAGGTATTCCACTCATGAAGACATGTGCTCCACGGGAGCTCTGACGCCATCGACGCACACAGGAAGTAGATGAACTGCGCGATGACAACACTGTAGTAGATCATGATGAATGATGTCACAGTTACCATGGCAATACCAAGACCTGTTAATGGAAGAAATGGTTTTATGGACAGGGCAATAAGTAACGCTTGTCGTAGATACGTGATACTTTTCCTGAAGCACGGGTGTGGTGTTAACTAAGCAAGGTACATAACCAGGATCTGCCTTCGAGCTGATGATAATCGGATACGGACACGTCTAAGGGATGTAACACAGTAAGATGTGGCACTGAAGTAAACTGACCTGATCTTCAAGTGAAAGATAAAACAAAATCTGTATTTCAATACCCGATGCGGTGTCCAGTCCATTGTTATGTAAATTGCCGACTGCTTATATTTAATTAACTAAAATTTACTTGAATGTCATACATGAAAGGAAAAGATGTAAGTTATCAAAGACCTTTCCTTAAACTACCGCTACTACTACTTCTACTACTACTACTACTACTACTATCACTACTACTACTACTACTACTACTACTACTACTACTACTACTACTACTACTACTACTACTATTATCACTACTACTACTACTACTACTACTGCTGCTACTACTACCGCTGCTACAACAACTACTAATACTACTGCTGCTACTACTACTACTACTATAACTACTACTGCTACTACTACTACTACTACTACTACTACTACTACTACTGCTACTACTACTACTACTACTACTACTGCTACTGCTACTACTACTTCTACTATAACTACTACTGCTGATACTACTACTACTGCTACTATTACTGCTGCTACTACTATTGCTGCTGCTACTACTACTGCTGCTACTACTAATACTACTACTACTGCTACTACTACTGATGCTGCTACTACTACTACTGCTCCTACTACTGCTGCTGCTACTACTAATACTACTACTGCTACTACTACTGATGCTGCTACTACTACTACTACTACTGATGCTGCTGCTACTACTACTGATGCTGCTGCTGCTGCTGCTACTACTACTACTACTACTACTACTACCACCACCACTACTACTGCTGTCGCTGCTACTGCACACAAATTACGCCTTTTGGATAAAACATTTGTGGCATCATCCGTGCAAAAATCAGACCAACCTCTGAAAATAGGACTCAAGCGCCATATTTTGAGTGGTCCGACACTGGCGAACTGTCCGAGGTTGATATCAAGTGCAAACAGCGGAATTCCCAGCAGAAACAGGCTCAAGAAGTACGGCAGTAGAAAAGCACCTGAAAATGTCCATATACATTTAGTAAAGCATGTATATAATGTATAATGTGCACAGATCAGGCCCAGTCTGTTATTCTTTCCGTAGTGTAGGCTGCAGCAACAATCTACAAAACTATGCAGAATTGTAAACCAAAAGTCACTGTGTTCTATAATCTGATTGGTTGAAAAACATGATCGAATGGTATTCGATTCCCTAAATCGGCTGGCCGTTGACATTTCACTGCTGTACCCGTACTCGATGCCAATGAGTGCAGACAGAAAAATGCGTGTGGACCTTTTGATTTACTTCTGTGTTTACAATGTCGATAAACATCATATGTTGGCCAATTTCGGGGTGTTATTGAGTATTTGAAGCACGGGAATTAATTTGGAAACGACGGCGTTAGCTAATGAATTCCCGTGCTTCAAATACTCAATAACACCCGGAAATTGCCCAACACATGATGTTTAATGCATTGTAAAGAGAACATTCACGATATATATCTTACATAGAAAGGGTGTAATCTCATTGTTTTGTAAGTATAGACAGCTACCTTTTGAGTAATGAATACAGTATTCGATGAATAACATAATAAACATACGTAATGTCAGGAAGATGGTATTTTTGTGGAATACATTTACTTCTTAATTGTAGGTAGAACTAATTATATTCGTCCTCAACAATAAGGCAGTCTGTCTCAATTTAAAATCCATCATCCACCATGTAATTTCAGCATAATTATAAGTACAAAGTTTTCTTTTATCACTACATTGCTTCCATGAACCTTTACACTCATTTTCATACACATATGTAACGACAAGATTCACACAACAAAAATGAATTACAGTTGCATACGGTATCAGCACACATCTATAAAACACATTATATATTATAATGGGAGTAGATGAGGGCTTGTGGGGTTTTAGAAAAAAGTTTTTCAAAATTTGAAATTGTCAGAACATACAAATCTTGAGCTCCATAAAGACGTCCTAGGACATATACTTCATGTAAAGCAAAACCGTCATACAAGAATGGTTAATCTGTAAGTCTGAGCACAAAGCACAATCAGTGACGTATTAACATCAATACAATACCTCCTCCATCCTTATATGCTAGATACGGAAACCTCCACACATTGCCAAGTCCAACAGCGCATCCTACGCATGTTAGTATGAACTCCACTTGCGATCCCCAAGTGGCCCTGTCGGGAGCTTCCTATAATGGAAATAGAGTCCTCAAGTGTTGTCGGAACGTTCAAGTGCCAGTTCTCATAGGTATCAAGGTCCTGACTAAGACTACAACATAGGTACAATACCTGAAGTGTATTTCTGGCGTTCCCTGCAGTGGAGCGGTGGGGTAGCCTAGTGGCTATTGCTAAAAGCGGCGTAAAACAATACTCACTCACTGACATGATATTGCTAACGGCGTAACAACACTCACTCATCTTACCCACTCACCCACCCATGGGTTTTACCTAAACATATCTTGAAATGATGATGACTTTGTACTTGTTCCAGATATACAGTTTTTAAGATCCATGACTCTCCCTCTCAAGTCAGCCAAACTGTACGCCTAGTGTTCTAACTACGTCCCCACCTTATCACATTGTCGCGTAGCCTGGGTGTCAGGAATCACTTTACAAACACCGAAGGCAAAATACGAAGTGTAGCTTCTGATTTCGTTTATTTTGATATCCATTAAACTAAACATGTAAACATTCCTAATCAATGAATGTAACATTGAAATCACAATATTAACACCCTGATTAACATGCATCGGTGCATGCTAGAGTACACACATACTTGATGAACATGAGTTTGAATGGAGTTGTGTCCAAGTCTGTTTGAATGGTATTTCATTCGGCGTGTGGGGCGGTTGGGTAACCTAGTCGTTAAAGCGTCCGCTCGTTGTTGTTTTGTTATTATCCTACAATGTGTACGACGACAGGACGGCTGTGGGTTTGCATAATGTGTGAACCCAATGGCATGCTAAACTGCAACATAGTATCTCCGCGGGCTAGCGCTGTGAAACCAACATTAATCTGGTCTAATAAAAACATACATCAATACACCCATATGCATATATGCATCCATATGTAAGGATACATATAACTATAAAAGAAAAATCTTGAACGACCTTAAACCAGATTCCATCTAAGCTCACCCCAACTCATCTTAATAGACAACAAACCATGACAAGCGAATACCTCTGTTCATACGTAGCCGTTCAGAGGTATGGGTTATTAAAATCAACGATGGTTGTTTTTAGCTTCATAAACCGGTTTCATGTCATGGATAGTTACAGCAATCATAGACAAATGTAATATTACCTTGATATCGGACATAACTGCGTCTTGATGACACAACGTCCAGACACGGTATACACAGATATATGGCGCTGATATATTGGACAGGTTAGATCCTATCAGTCCAGTTTAAATACGTCATGCTGTTGTAGTGACTGTACTTGTTTCTGGCTGCTCGTGTTATCAAGGTTGTATAATCTGTCGTCCCGGCAGGTCGTGTACGTGTAGGTATCTGACAGTCTGTCAACAGTGGTTCAACCGTTTTATCAGGGGAGGTGGGGCAGCCAATTGGTTGAAACGTTCGCTCGTCACGATGAAGACCCGGGTTCGATTCCCCACAGGGTACAATGTGTGACGCCCATTTCTGGCGTCCCCCGTCGTGATGTTGCTAGAATATTGTTAAAAGAGCAAGCACTCATTCAAACGTTATTTATTTAACGAATTCTAAGCCAAATGGCGGCGATTCGTAAATAATCGAATCCAATTCAAACTAGGAAGCAGACTGACATCGTGAGCATCGGTCTATCGGATACCTGGATATGCATCAGACAAGTCAGGGAGCCGTTCTCGATAGTGGCCTCTTACTTGCTGAGGACGAATTCTAAAACAGGATTTTCATTGATCTTCAAACATGTGCAATCACAATGGTGATAATTACATTTTATAATATTGTTCTGTACCAATAGTCAGTGAGGGTGTGTTTTAATGCTTATCAATCAATCTTTACTTCATACTGAAAGACCACAGACCTGTAGAACAATACAATTATTCATGTGTGGGTAGTAGTACATTCTTTCTGAGAATATAAGCTTGTGGATATATATGGACAAACTTTCTAAATGTGTTTTACTGGAATTATTCATAAACGATAAAAACCTATGAGTGTTAGGATGTACATAATAATATTTCTTCATATATACTTTTGTTAACGATAAGTATGCTGGGCCAAAAAAAAAATGAAATTCTTTCTTAATTCGTTAATAGTGACACAACAACTAGTCATAACAAGCTGGTCCGATAATGCAGCTATTAGTGTCTCTCGTTGTGGAATAAACATTGCATTATCATAAAGCCGTGACACCATCATCAGCCTCTCACTCCAATAGACGTGTGAAGGATGCAAGTGATGCTCGAGATGGGTAGAGGAGGGAAGGATGTCTTTAAGTGTGTTATTAGTTTGACTTTCATTCCATACCATCCAGGGGCACGAAAGCAACCACTTCATCCTTTCAAAGGTTCTCTAAAGAAGTATGCGTTTGGAATCAGACATCCGTTTGTTAACGACACACTGGTCTCAGAGCTTCAAAGCTACGGGTTTGCAGCTGTTTGTTAAAAAACCTTCAGAGACATACAAAAGAAACCTTCAGTCTGACTTTACACTTGATCACCAGAGTGAGAGAGTGAGCCAGTGAGGGAGTATGGTTTTACGCCGCGTTTAGCAATATTACAGCAATATCGCGGCTGGGGACACCAGAAATGGGCTTCGCATATTGTGGGGAATGGAACCCGAGCGTTCGGCATGACGAGCGAACGCTTCAACCCCTAGGCTACCCCACCGCCCCTGATCACCAGAAGTGATGGAACATGCCAAAACTCTCCTTCACATCACTTTAGTATGAAATATTGAATTTCTATGACTGATTCTGATTTAAAAGGATATTTTCACTATACACTTATCATTGTGTTTAGGCTCTTAGCAATACCCCACGATGTAGGATCTCCAGGCAGTGGGATGTCATGGAAGATACGTATCTGCAACCCCATTGAATTTGGTAACTACTCCACTCTGACTGGTCAATGAAAAGGTTTAAATAACAATGCTCTATAACTTGCCAAGACGTGGTCTATTTCACAACCATGTATATTGTATTGAACTTCCAGAAGAGGATATACTATAATACTGTTGCTTTGTTGTCTCCGTTAAGAAATGACGGTGTCGTGTCGTTGTGTATTCTACCATTACACACTTCAGGTCGATTAACAGTGTCTTCGTTGTCTCCCTTTGATTCTAAAGTAACTACCTCAGTTTGAAACCGCCACCCATCACAGGGGAAGCTCGATTTAAATGCCTCTTTTCCGTTGACTTTCGGTAGGTACTAGTATTTTATTATATTTTGAAATAATGTATAGTTATAACGTCCAAAACGCAATGCAGTTTGATACGAAACACGATCAATATAATTTCATTTCAAGTCTTAATATTTCATTATTATGTCCATGGAAAACATTATATATAAAGCTGTCCCTTAGCCGCAAGTTCGTCATTTCTTGTGCGTTATAATGACAGGTGTGATGATACAATTGAGAACTAAACTTGAACAGCATGCTTCATATTCTGTAGGGATTCTGCACTTTTGTCCCCAAATCCAGATTAACCCGGTACGATGAACAGACAACCAAGTTCTATCTGATGTTCAGACATTCCAACCGTTGGTATGAAACCCGAAACTCTCTGCCTCTTGAACTGTGAAACGTTTTTATTAAGCTTTGTTTCAAATAAAAAAGGCTACTAAACCTTTTTCCTACACTCAAGCAATTTGGGCTGAACTAATAGTTTACAGTACTTTTCTGACTTGTTCATATAAGCATTTGATTAGGAATCACGACAAAGTACTGATGATACAGATGATGAGGAATTCCATGAGGCATAATGGTTTGGATTTTTTGCATTTGCCATTGAATGTTGTAACCCGAAGCCAGATAAAAAAACAAACAGCATATGACGCTCCTTAAAAAGAGCATGCTGAATCTCAAAAGTTAAAAATATTGACGCAGAGACTTGACCTGCGATAGTTTTGACTGTTGTTAAGTTGAAGTCATTTGACTGATATTTTGCAAATATTTTATGCCCGTTTCGTTTACTTCTATCGTATGCGAAATGTTAGCACAACGTGTTGATATTTTAAACCCATATTAATAGATACGTAATATGTACCAAACATGTCTACTTGTTTCGGCACATACGGAGACATTTGCGAGATGAAACTGAGAGGAGATCAAGAAATAATAATTTGATAACTATATTGTCTTGTCCGAATCTTGTATTAAAGCAACAAAGCCGAACGCATTTGCATGTACTTTAGAATATCAAAACGGATTGAAAACAAAAATACATTTCGCGGCCACAAGGTGTAACTCATGATATGTTTCTGTCCACTCTACAATGACATAACAACACTAACTCCTTCATGGTAGCCGAAGTTATTGATCACAGAATATGTCAGTGCGATCAACCTCAGTTGTTGTACTCAAACCATAATATCCAAATATTTATAAACTCGTGTAACAAATCATCGCAAACGAAAATAGTCGGTAACAACCACGTAAAGGTGGCACCCTGAATTCATCTTGCGACATTAGACCATTGTATCTTGTTAATGTTAAACATTGCCTACAGTGCAAGACTGACCTTACCCTAAATGCTGAATTGAGACATTAACTTATTCAGTCGGATTTCTGTATAAAATACGTACTGTCACACGTTGGATTTATGCTTAACTCTTACTTTACTACACTCTGTCCATTGCATGTGTATTTTTAATGTTTTTATATCTATTAAAAATTCTTTGTTTCAAATATGCAAACACATTAGGGTTTATTGATAATATACATTTGCTAACAAACAAATATATATACATATACATAACCTATAATCTATACGGGATATTACGAAAGTTTATTGAGCATAATGTCGAATTCGTGAGAGATGTTTCAAAGAAAAGTACACATTATCCCTAACGCGATCCTCGACAAACGCATGGTTTATAACACACTGACAAGAGGGTTGGAGTCTCAAATGTAATGATAGATAAGATTTTAGAGCAATTAATTCGATGCATCTCTCAAATACCCTTAATGGTTAGGTCAGTACGAGGAAATAACATCAAAATATTCAAATTCTGGTTTGGGGCCCTGCTTGAAAAATACTCTCGCGGGATGATCATTTTCAGCCATGTAGATGAAATCATTCCTGTAAATCCTCCTGACTTGGTCCACGTCATTGAATGTCAGTTGGTGAAACGCTAATGTGAATGCATCTATTTTGTTATATGATGTAATGTTCCTTGATTCGTCATAGGCTCTTAACACCTTATTCAGCATTACCGGATATTCAATCTTCTTGCTCTGTCTTGCACTGTATGGATATTTCATTCCTATTGAAATATATCCCCATATTTGCAGCTGTCTCCACATTCTTCTTAAAATAGAATGATCACTTAAACAGACAATCTCATTCTTCCTCGCAAATGCCCTCCTTACAATGCTTTCAATTTCATATCGGTCGTAGCGAGATTGAATGTCACTTAAATGTGGTACTGGCCTATCAGGTCTGATCATGCTATACAAATTAGCCATATCTTGTAGAAAGGATTCTTCTTTCCCTACAATGTCATAGCGGACAGAACACAGATCACACTTTGGAATTATGCCTGCCCACTTCCTGTTGTATGGTGTTGATTTGACGAAGCGAGCGAACTCTTGAAAAGTAACGTTATGTCCACATTGTTTGTTCTTTAAGGAAGGGGATTCTTTAAACTTTGAAATAATTTCTTTACCAATTTCGAGGTACTGTTTACTAGGACTGAGGAAGTTATTCACGTAAAACCTGAATAGCTGCCAGTAAGGATTTTCTGAAAAGAAAACCTTTAAGGATGTCTTCAGGGCGTTCTGAAGTTCCATTTCTGTATGCCAGAGATATTTTCCGTGAACACCCTCTATCATTTTGGAATTGGTATTAGAACGTGAGCGACGGTAATTTTCATCCTGCAGCCATATGTCAAGGTTATGGGTCCATGATGGCACATCATCCTCATTCAGAGGACAGTAGATGATATCCAGAGAAGGGATATGCCAGAGTTGGGATGCTAAAACGGCCGTTGTGTCAACCGGTTTCTTCGTAGTTTTTTTCTCAATATTGTCGCATACATATCTGATGTGGTCGCGACGTTTTGTGTAGTTCAGGTCAGCGTCATTCTGAAGATAAATATTGTTTAGATAAAATGACACATAGGACAACATGTTTCTGATGCCATTGCATGTTCTTGCAATAGCGACATGGCATGTGGTAGAGAAAAGTTTGCTTGAGAATCTGTTCATTCTCAGGTGACAAGTGTTGTAAGGGATGACTTCAGAAGATAGGAAGACCATGTCAAGGAACAGTTATGTATTTTGGGACGATTTTACTCTTGTATTTGATTGGTTGTAAGTTACAATTTTGTGTCCGAGAGCTCAATATTGCCTTCATAAAATCAACAATTACTCTTACTTGTATTGTATTATTTATGTTTACTGATCAACATTTTTTCTGAAATTCAGGAATTTGGAGAACCTTCAACACGGGACATACAAGTAAGGGTTCTTCCGTTGTACTCAGCAGTGCATTGAACATTGTCTCTGGCTGTGCTGTTCTCTGGGTCATTGCCTTTGCCTGGAAGTGATGACGGGTTGCTAGAACAGATTCACCTGACTAAAGTATTTTGTCAAAATCAACAAATACCATGTTCAAAGCGGCAGTGACCTCAATTCAGTCACACACTCATACGGGTATCAAAGAGATGTACAATGAAGATATGTGGCACACACTTTAGGTGATATACTCATAGAAACGAATAAGAGAATTCATGTTAGTACAGGTGTTCCTATATGTATTTCCAGAATTTCACTCACAGTGCAATACATACCTTGTGAAGAAACCTGGAAAAGAATAAAGGAACAGTAGTACTTTCATGTGTTCCCGTATTCGTTTCCACGAGTATATATTGTCATTACATGGGGGTACTGTTAACAGTACCACAGCACTATAGTTTGGAGAGGAGATTTATTTGACAAATACGCGGAGGTATCACACATACGGCCATGTAGTTATACTGAAGTACACAGGGAATACAACGATCTTTATATTAGTTCATAACACACAAAATTGGTTATTCCGGGAATCCTTTTCCACTAAAATGGACGAAATATCCTTGGCTATAATCACGATATACCCACTAATATTCAATAAGTCACAACTGTATTGTTCGTGAAGGTGTTGAACCCTATCAAGATTATCTATCGTGATGATTGTATGGATATTCTGTCTTCCAGTGGTACACTCCATTGTGACCCTGCCAACATGTCTTAGTGTATACACATGCCAGACAACTACATGCCTCTGTACAAGAAACAAAACTACAATCATTATTTTACAATGTCTTTACAACCGAAACTGTAAACACTAAACATGACATTAAGACACGCAGTACTCACCCAATGTCGAGGCAGGCTTTGTTTCAAGATAATTATTCATAAATGCATGTAGCACCAGACCAACACATACAATTCCAAGAAGTACATAAAGTTTCAGCAGACACCTTTGTATGAGCGCCATGATTCCTGAAATTCAGTCATACATATATAGTCATTGAAATGCACACTAAGGATATGCATGTCATATTGTTAAGGTGAAGCATTGGTGAGTGAACTTGTCCAGATTTTTATCTATGTGTTTTTCGTCGTATGTAGGAATACATTGACTTTTATACTCGTACGCGATGAATTCATAATGTACTCACCTCTACAACCTGAAGTATGTTTTCTAATATCCTACCTTAGTGTTTAGCATGAACAGATTCTAGATTATGCTTATTTAACTCTCAACGCGACAAGACTAAGGACTCAGGACATTGAGTTCATTGGGTGATACATAACGGGGCGATATTGTGAACAGTAATAAACTGTATACCTTAATGAAAAGGAAACCTTCAAACTACATTAGTAATTTTAAAGCCGTGTTTAGAATAACCTTTACTGTGGATTATGCCAGTTTAAAGGGTTAAAGCGTGATAGAACGGTTGAACGAATAACGGTTAACATCAGGTCTACATGTTGTGCCACGTGTCCTTATTTGTGGACTTGCCCTTGCCTTATGGTTCATAAGCTGATTAGGTATTCCTCTTGCTGTAGTCACTTACTGACTTGGGGATCATCTGCTGACACAACCTGTGATAAGTTTGTCCCTAAGACATATCGATGTCATTCTACAACTCTTTATCGAAGATGAAATGGAGATAAAATCTGGGCGTGCTATCACTTTCAAACGTCAAACCTGATTGCGTGACCACCGTCAATATTCAATATATATAGTTAAGGTATGTGTATAAGACATTTACTCCCCCGTGGAGATCCAGTCCATGGGCCGTGATACCCTTGGCAAAACTGTCCAGAGGCATTTTCTGAAATATTTTCTCATATGTCATAACCTTCCTTTAGAAAACCACTTAACTCGGAACGAATCCTCGCGTATATATGAGCAACTGTGAATATATATGCAGTACCTTAATCTGATTTCTTAGCCATGTATGTTGCATATTGCCTGTGCATGACATTTTCATTGTTGAATGAATTCCCATGCATGTCTATCACCACATGTGCATTACAAGTTCACTGTTGAATGGTTGTCCATGTGTGTTCATCATTGAATGTGTATAGCAAGTTCATTGTAGGGTTGTAAGTTGTTGTCCAACATTACATGGATATAACATGTTCCTTTTTGAATGATTTACCAAGCATGTTTATCACTGAATGTGCTTAACAGGTTCACTGTTGGTTGTCCATGTCTGTTCATCATTGAATTAATAGTTAATTGTTTTAACGTTGTATATTTCCATTGTTGAATTGTTCAATGATTGTTCATAAGCGTTTATCATTGACAGTACTAATCAAATTAAGTTTTGTACGATTGTCCATGAATGTTCAGCACTAAATGTGCATGGAAAGTTCATTGTTGGCGGAGTTCCCAGGTATGTTACAAATGATGTCTGTTGTTATGTGGCAGTCAGTTTTATTGTCAAGAAATGTTACAATATATACATGTATATTACACTATTTCTCAACAATAATCAGTTGTCAACACTGTATTGTTTTCTAATGTGAGCAGGGTATGGAAATTTCGATATTTTGATATTTTAGAAGACTTAGGAATAAAATGTAATCTGGAATGTTTAAAGACTATGTTTAAAGACTATATAAAGAGCAAGGTTATGTCTCCATTATCTCACACATCTTACTATATACCAAGACCAAGACCAGAGGTGCGTGAAGCCATTTGTTCATGTGAGTGTGCGTGCGTGCGTGCGTGCGTGTGCGTGCGTGTACGTACGTCTATGTGTGTACGTACGTGTGTGGTACAAGTACGGGCGCTTAAACAGCGCACTGACATTGTGTACCAACAAAAACAACACGGTCTTGAGGTAAACAATTTGTCTTCAGAGAAAAACTGATGACATAGCTACTCCTGTTTTACAATTACATCAAAGTAAGAAAACCCTGACTGGGGCGCTTGCTTGAAATAGACGAGCCCTGGCCGATCATTGTAGTCGAACAGATAGAAGTCATCCGCATAAAGTGCCCTTAGAACATTTAACTCGGACAAACTTAAGACGTGGTACGCCTGTGCAATGGCATCAAATCTATTTGACCTTGACATGGGAACGGATTTTTGATATGCCGTCAAAGCGGCGTCCAGTAACTGGGAGTACTCCAATGAAAGACTTTCTGCCTTGGTGTATGGGAATGTTATATTGTTACTGATGTAGCCCCAGATCTGTAGCTGGCGCCACAGTCTCAAGTACATCGAGTAGGTGCTGATACAGGTGATGTTATTCTTCCGAGTGAAGGCTGTTTCAACGTAACCTTCAATAATGCTGAAGTCGTATTCCAGCTGGAAGTCCTCGAAGTCGGAAGCCATGTCAGGAGACTTTAACTTGTTGTACACATACAGAGTATCTTGTTCGAAGGTATCCTCTTTTCCAATAACGTCAAAATCTATTCCACAAACATCACAATGGTTTACTGTTCCAGCAAAAGAAGTATTTCGCTTCGACGAAATTACGAACTGTGTGAATTCTACAAAAGAAACATTTTGGCCACACATCAGTTCGTCTTTTGTCAGAGATTCTTTGTGTTTCAATGTAATCTGTTTGCCAAGTTGTAATGATTCGTTACTTGGCACAACAAAATTGTTCACATAATATTCAAACAACTGCCAGTAAGGATCACGACTGTATATTACTTTCAGGGATGAGTTGAACATGTCCATAAATGTTTCTGTTTGTTTTCCTTCTCCCGTCACTGTCTTTTCCTTGGAGCTTTTAAAATGCATCCAGTCCAGGTTATAGCTGGACCTCGTACTGGACTGACTTCGCATCCAGATTTCAAACGTCTTCTTCCATGTAACCGTATCGTGATTCTCCAGGGGACAGTAGAGTATGTTCAGTGGTTTGAAGTGCAAAAGCTGATCCGCTGATTTCTCTCTCGCTTGGTTTCTCAGTTCTGCAGCATTACATACATATTCAATGTGTTTTCGCCTTCTCAGGTACAATTTACCTAAGTCCGCCTGGAACATACCAATATGATAGTAGGTATAGTCAAAGTACTAGTGCTATATACTTTCACTGATAAATGATAGGTATGGTCAAAGTACTGGTAATAAATGATAAGTCAAAGTACTGGTGTTATATGTATTCACTGATAAATGAAATGTCAAAGCACTGGTGTTATAGGTAAATGGTCAAAGTACTGGTGTTATATGTATTCACTGATAAATGATAGGTATGGTCAAAGTACTGGTGTTATATGTATTCACTGATAAATGATAGGTATGGTCAAAGTACTGGTGTTATATGTATTCACTGATAAATGATAGGTATGGTCAAAGTACTGGTGTTATATGTATTCACTGATAAATGATAGGTATGGTCAAAGTACTGGTGTTATATGTATTCACTGATAGGTAAATGATAGGTATGGTCAAAGTACTGGTGTTATATGTATTCACTGATAAATGATAGGTATGGTCAAAGTACTGGTGTTATATGTATTCACTGATAAATGATAGGTATGGTCAAAGTACTGGTGTTATATGTATTCACTGATAAATGATAGGTATGGTCAAAGTACTGGTGTTATATGTATTCACTGATAAATGATAGGTATGGTCAAAGTACTGGTGTTATATGTATTCACTGATAAATGATAGGTATGGTCAAAGTACTGGTGTTATATGTATTCACTGATAAATGATAGGTATGGTCAAAGTACTGGTGTTATATGTATTCACTGATAAATGATAGGTATGGTCAAAGTACTGGTGTTATATGTATTCACTGATAAATGATAAATGATAGGTATGGTCAAAGTATTCACTGATAAATGATAGGTATGGTCAAAGTACTGGTGTTATATGTATTCACTGATGAAATGATAGGTATGGTGATAAATGATGGGTGTCAAATATGTATTCACTGATAAATGATAGGTATGGTCAAAGTACTGGTGTTATATGTATTCACTGATAAATGATAGGTATGGTCAAAGTACTGGTGTTATATGTATTCACTGATAAATGATAGGTATGGTCAAAGTACTGGTGTTATATGTATTCACTGATAAAGTATGATGTATTCAGGTATAGGTATGGTCAAAGTACTGGGTGTTATATGTATTCACTGATAAATGATAGGTATGGTCAAAGTACTGGTGTTATATGTATTCACTGATAAATGATAGGTATGGTCAAAGTACTGGTGTTATATGTATTCACTGATAAATGATAGGTATGGTCAAAGTACTGGTGTTATATGTATTCACTGATAAATGATAGGTATGGTCAAAGTACTGGTGTTATATATGTATTCACTGATAAATGATAGGTATGGTCAAAGTATTGGTGTTATATGTATTCACTGATAAATGATAGGTATGGTCAAAGTACTGGTGTTGTTATGTATTCACTGATAAATGATAGGTATGGTCTGGTGTTATACTGGTGTTATATGTATTCACTGATAAATGATAGGTATGGTCAAAGTACTGGTGTTATATGTATTCACTGATAAATGATAGGTATGGTCAAAGTACTGGTGTTATATGTATTCACTGATAAATGATAGGTATGGTCAAAGTACTGGTGTTATATGTATTCACTGATAAATGATAGGTATGGTCAAAGTACTGGTGTTATATGTATTCACTGATAAAATGATAGGTATGGTCAAAGATAAATGATAGGTATGGTCAAAGTACTGGTGTTATATGTATTCACTGATAAATGATAGGTATGGTCAAAGTACTGGTGTTATATGTATTCACTGATAAATGATAGGTATGGTCAAAGTACTGGTGTTATATGTATTCACTGATAAATGATAGGTATGGTCAAAGTACTGGTGTTATATGTATTCACTGATAAATGATAGGTATGGTCAAAGTACTGGTGTTATATGTATTCACTGATAAATGATAGGTATGGTCAAAGTACTGGTGTTATATGTATTCACTGATAAATGATAGGTATGGTCAAAGTACTGGTGTTATATGTATTCACTGATAAATGATAGGTATGGTCAAAGTACTGGTGTTATATGTATTCACTGATAAATGATAGGTATGGTCAAAGTACTGGTGTTATATGTATTCACTGATAAATGATAGGTATGGTCAAAGTACTGGTGTTATATGTATTCACTGATAAATGATAGGTATGGTCAAAGTACTGGTGTTATATGTATTCACTGATAAATGATAGGTATGGTCAAAGTACTGGTGTTATATGTATTCACTGATAAATGATAGGTATGGTCAAAGTACTGGTGTTATATGTATTCACTGATAAATGAAACCTTATGACCATATGGACCATATGAAGTGTGCTGTAACAAAACCTGGGTGATAAATGAGAAAGTGATAAGTGCTTCTATTTGTCCTTATATTAAAGATGTGGTAAAACACAGCCATTTGATATCGACTGAGAAAGAGAGAAGATGAATATCAATCGTTAAAGTAAACAGCGACGTTCTGAACATGTATCTGTGTTACAAGTTTCTATCATGAACACATCAATACTCTCCATAAATGTTTGTTCAAAAAGAGAGAGCGAGAGAGTTTGGGGTCCAGCAAATGCATCAACGAGTCGCTGCCTTAAGATTAGCCACAATCCGGAATACAATCAAGGAATTTCTGGAAATGGAAAATCAAATTCGCGGAATTGGGTCAAGTTGAAATTTATAGACGTTTTACTTATTACTCGTTCAGTGAACAGCCAATTATCTGGCACTGGTTTACCCAACTGTTTCAAAATACAGAGACCAGTGAAACCGTCTACATGCTTCAGAGCCTAGAAACTTTAAACTAGAATTGAAGGAGCCCGGAGTGTTAGGTTTCATGTTTACATCTATGCATGAAGATCCAACATAGTGATCCGTAATTATGCGTTTGATCAATTAGAATGGCACAATGACCACCGTTTATAGCAGCAATTTTTGGAATATTGGAAAGCTTTAACCTTTTTTTTGGATTACATCAATTTTACATTCTCGTATTCCCGTACTTGACTTTGCGCACTCACGTCTCTTCATACATTCCACATTCCACAACACAGATGTAAACATGTATGGCATTATTGAGTGTTTCAATATATTTGTGTGTGAATTGCGCACCTTATATTGTATGCTGTGAACTGGTTCATCCGAAAACTGATCAGCTGAAGGCAGCGTTTGAATTCTTGAAGTCGTAGTTCCAAGTAACTGTGGCAAACCCACGTGGTCCACCACGTTGGGACTGTAACGATCTTTAACAGAAAGTTTAACACATCAGCAAATCTGATCTATTCTAGTGGGTCTATATGTAAAGGATAGTAGGCTTGGTCACTATGTAGAATTTCTTAGTAGATGAAAAGCAACTGGCTGGGATTTGGCACAGATTGTGACGTTAATATGTTTGCATCTAAAGTGCAATATCACAATATTGGAGGACTCTTTGAAAGAAGGTATAGCTCGTTTACCTTGGATGTTCTATTCTACGTTATCTTTTACCTGTAGATATGTTCATTAGACTTTCATTCTGAGTTTAGATGTTTCAATATATTTACCCGATACATGGTACATTATAAAGGCATTTCTGTTATCGATGAAAGAAGGGAGGTAAGACTACGTTAAATGTATAGGGACATCTACATGGGTATGCCATGGTTGAATTATACCTCGATATCTCCATAAAACACACGACACATGGTCGTAGTAATATGACCCCGCACTTGTTCACCTTGAACCCGACGGACTTACACATTCATAGCTAAGTCGTTCTTCAAAGGATACATGTTTGTCTGAATGAAAACAACTCACAATCTACCATGTAAGTCGCCAGAAGGACAGCCACGCCCATCAGCAGGAGGACAACTGACTTCGGACAATGACAGATCAATGAAATGCATCTTCTGCTGCTTCCAACCAAGCGTATCATCATTTGCACCAGAAACCTTTCCAAATGTACATACACTGATATCAAAATATAAAAATAAGTTTAGTGTCACTAGAATTGTTTCATTAATCTGCGTATTAGTACAAAATGAAAAACAATATTCGATACTACACTGATTAGTTAAAATACAAGTATTCGTATTCAGACTATTTAACATGGTGTCACTATGAATTTGAAATATTAAACATCTGTAAATCATGAGGTTAAATTGAAATCAGATTTCAAAGTCTTATGAATTTTCTAGGCTGTCGGTAATATCTATTTATTTTTCATTTTCTATTTTTTCTAGGCGCTATCTTGCTGGTTGAGGGTGGAGATTTGGAACACATATAGCACTCTGGAGATTTTACTTTACCTTTATTTTGTACGTCTTGTCTTGTCACTCGCTCTATTGCCTCAGTCTTGAAATTCGTAGTTTCGGAGATTCATATACATGTAAACTCAACCTCAGTTGCGATTCAACTGCTACAAAGACACATAAAAATAATTTGTGTTAAGATTAAATATTAGACTTGCAAAGAGCAGCATTCTTAGAATGAGTATATAAAAAGCAGCGAAAATATATGTATACTGAATCAGTAGCAGCAAACTGGCTTGTGTTCAAAGTAAAGTACGAAAGTAAACTAATATAAGGAAACGAATGGAAAGGTACATATATTGTACACTCTTCAAACAAGAAACTCGTCTGTTGATTGGATTGCCCTGGTCAGTTACAGATTTCATTTCGATTGGGTGATACTAGGATAAAACTCAGCATGGTGATAGGCATATGTTCTGTGGACATAATAGCAGTACTGTACGTCCAGGACGGATGTTCCGATCACTTCCTGGTGTGACCACTGTGTGTTCGCATAACTGCTGCTGACTGCATAAATCTACGGGGTGTGTCCTGAGGAATTGTCCTCCATTCTTCCTGATAAGCAGGATATGTTGTCTTGGATGTGAACGTCTTAATACAAATACCTAACTTCTCTTCTGAGTTCCTATCTGACGCACGCCATATAGCTGGAATATTGCTGAGTGCGGCGTAAAACTAAACTCACCCCTATCTGACGTAGACGATTCCTGATTGTTTGGCCC